TGTAAACCCATATATAATTGGTCACAGTGATAGTTCAAGGGCCCAGTGTGGTTTGGGGTGCACAGTGGGAGATCAGAAATATGAATTTTGTGACTAAATATGGGTCGCGGTGCAGAGACTGTAGGACCGGGCAGCTCTTCCAAGAGCACTAGGGTGGCTTAGGGCCCAGCGCTGCTCAGTTGAAAGCAGCGCTCCTTCCCCAGTGGTGGCGGGAGAAGGTGGAAGAGGGGCGTGGCTGGGCAGACATGCGGCAGGGAGGTGCCTGTCTGCTGGTGAGAGGCTCAGGAGGCCAAGGAAAGGTGACGTTGCTCCTTGGTCTTCATTTACCCTGCAGAAAGATACTTTGAAGGCTCCCTCACCCTAATGCTCTGCTGTTCCAGTCCTCCTAGCAGTACTTTTCATGGCCAAAGTCACCTGGGATACTTGTTATGACCAGAGAGCCCTGGGAGGTGCCTGGGCCTGTGGGAGTGGCGTTGGAGTCTGCGTGGTACCATGCTCCGGGGTGACCTTTAAATGCACATCCATGAGTGGCTGGGGAAGGTGTCTACCTTGCTCACTCATGTATCCCCCAAACCTGGCCCAGTGCTGGGATGAGGGCTCGGGCGATGGATGAATGAGTGAGTGAGTGAGTGCTACAGGCATGGAAATGTGGGTATCCGAGTTTTACTAAGGCAGAGAGGAAAGGCTCCCTTTTCAGACAGGGCCGCAGGCCTAGGTGAGCCCTGGGCTTCTTCCTGCCTGTATAATCCACAGAACCAACAGTCTGTTTCCCCTTGCTGCATCCCTGAGTGGGGAGAGAATCAAGATGAAAATCAACTACAACCCAGAGATCTGCCATGTTTTAATTGGAGGATGGAGTCAGTTAAAGAAACGTAAAAAAAGACCTTTTACTTCTTGCTGGAACATGATATGGTTTGTGCATAGCACATACATATTTAAAAAACAGAAGCCTTACATATCACAAGCACACAACTGAATAGCGCTCAGTTTTCCTACCTGCTGTGCTGAGCCAAGGACAGCTCTGCACCTGCACCGGGACCGCCTGAGGCCCCTGGTGAGTTTCAGCTGTCTGCAGCTGGAATTTCAGGAGTTAGGTGAGGCCTACAAACAGGATTCCATGCTGGCTGCATGCTGCCTGGGCCAGGGTCTGACTGCAGTCATGGGCTCCTCTGCTCGGGTGTAAGCACGGGCTGGGGCATTTCCCTCTGTTCTAGCTCTGTCCTGAAAATCCCTATCATGGGTTTTTCAGAGATGCGGCTGGCTCTCTCTGGATATGCAGAGAGGAACAGCCGTGATGGGGATGCAGATGGGGTGGCAGGTGGCAGAGACCATCTCCAAACAACAACCAGCAGAGTGTTGGGGAAAAGCATAGAAACAGAAGGTGTAGGAGTTTTCTAGTTTGTGTCCACGTAAAAAGGGAAATGAGGAATAGAGGGTAGAGAGGACATCCTGGGGCCTCAGGCCAGCAGCTGCATTTGGTAGCTGCGTCTGCTCCTGACCACAGCACCAGAGGCCACGGGGGTCAGACACTGGTAGGCAGGAGAGCCCCAGCCCATGGCTGCTTCCATGTCCTTCTTCCCTCAAGGGCTTGCATCGAGTGAGAATTTGAAGGATCTGAGGTCTTAGGACAGGAAAAGGCCCCAGAGTCCATATCCTGAAGGAGAATTCCAAACTGCCAGGGAAGGACTGGGAACAGGAGAGAATTTTGGCCTGAGCGTCAGCCTGGAGAGAGACCTGTACCATCTGTCTAAGGAGGAGAGAGATTCGTGTCCTGAATCCGAGATCAAGAGAAGACATTCTGCTTCCTAAGCCATTGGATGACCTTGACCCAGGTGTGGATGAGGATCAGTGTGGGTGTTGGGGGACTGTGGGGTGGTGGCTGGGGAGAAAGCACACAGGTCAGTGATGAGGAATTCATTACAGGATTGAAGGCTGCTTTCCAAGGGGAGTTCAAAATGTCTGGAAAGTAGGGAGGGCGGGTGTGTTAAAGGCAGTGGCTGTGACGCAAGCGTTATCAACAGCATGAGCAAGGAAGCCAGAGGTCTCTGGTTTCCTAGGACCACAAGGTCTGTCCATTTTCCTGAAGAGGACGAGGCTTTAGAGGGTCCTGGGACCCTTTGCTTCTGAACAGACCTCCTCCCAGCTGAGAAGTCTGTCTTCAGCATATGCAGGTGAGCCATTTTCTTCTCTACAATTTGTCCTTGAAGAAAGCATAAAATAGCCTCTTGGCTCCTGGAACCCAAGTGTGCATGGAGCCGCCAGAGAAGGTTCTGGACTGAAGAGAGGCCAGTTAGCCACAAAACTATAAGCCAGCCGGGCACTGTTGTGTGCACTTGTATTCGCAGCTACCCGTGAGGCTGTCAGGAGGGTTGCAGGACTGAGGACAGTCTGGGTAACTTAACAAGACCCTGTCTCAAAATAAAATAATGATGATGATGATGATAATGATGATGATGATGATGATGATGATGATGATGATGATGATGATGATGATGATAATGGGGCTGAGGATCTAGCTCAGAGGTAGAATGCCCCTAGGTTCAATCCCCAGTCTTGGGAAAGAAACAAAAACAACTCTGTAAGCCAGGGTCATTGCTCAGGCTTTGGGGGAGGCAGGGCCCAAATCATTCTCAGTGCAGCTGCCTGTGAGAGAAGGGAGCTCACGTGCTTCCTTGCTGAGCCCTCTGGATCATGGGGCTGAGGGCAGAGCACAAGGCTTAGCTGTGTGACCAGGTAGGGAAGATGCACCGTGTGGGGTGGCATGAGGGGGTGAAACACTGCTCTAGCTCTGCTCTGCCCCGTCGCCGAGCCTACTTCTGTGGACAGGAACAGACTTTTCCCAAGCCCAACCACTTACAGGTCACAGGTAGAGCCCTTGAGAGAATTCCTCTGCATAAAACAGTTTAAAACCGTCAACCACGCTCGATATATCCAGGGGTAATATTCAGGATGCTTCACAGCCAGCACCACAGGCCCTGCTGGCATCAGAGCAGTGCGGCGTCTCACACCCAGTCCCAGAAATCAGTCTGCGCTGTACTACGAGAGGCCGAGTGTGCCGTCACCAGACCTGCTCGACTCCAGGCGTTTTACAGCTCCTCTTCCTCACTCCTAGACACACTAGGCGAGACCTCCTGTCAGGATCTGAGAGAGTTTTTGAACTTCCAGAGAGATCCAGGAAAGGTCTACCAGCCCCGGCTGGCAGGCTCTCTGGAGAGGATTGCCTCCCGGCATGCCGAGCTAACTCAGAGATTCACGAAGGAACTAGGGCTTGGGGGGAGTGGGTAGAATTTCTCTCCTACCAAGTTGCAGTGCAACCATTCCCTCAACATCCTGTACTCTCCCAGTTACAACAGGAATGGGTGCGTGTTTGAGGTCCTGCGTGCTCCACTTCTGATTGACCCACTGAAGAAACGGATTACACCAGACAAGACTTCTTTAAAAATTATCAGCTTTGTCACCTGCCTCCAAGCGGACCTGCACTTCTATGTTCAGATGTCAAGATGGAGGATTTTCTCCCTCTCCCGCCTGGCCCAAGACTCAGCTTCCTCAAGTTTCCATGCAAGGCCTGACCCAAGCTCTGCTAAACCTCGGCCCACTGTGGTGTGGCCTGGCCCTCCTCGTCTGCCCACGTCCCACTGTCTTCAGCTCGCAGGGCCCAGCCCAGCTCTATCTGTGGATGTAGATGAAGTATGGGCAACAGATGAAGGATTGTCTTGCAGGTCGGGGCCCCAGGAGTGCAAGGGGTGTCAGGGCATTTTGTAACTCGAGGGTCAGCATATGCTGAACATATTTGCGCTCTGGTATGGCTCTCTCTGGTTTCAGATTTAGGAACATTCCACTGGTTCAGGAATCTGAAGGCTCCGGGCAGACCACATTTAGAGTCGCTCAGGAACTTCTGCTTTAAATACTCTCACAGGAGAGGAGGGAGGAAGGCACTGTACCACGAGCAGCCGCCTCAGCCTGGCTGCCTGATCTCATGGGATTAGCACCCGCTCCTACTGTAGGGAGCAGAGTGGGCGAACTCCGGAGGCCACAGAGTCCATTCTACTGCTTCCAGACTGCAGTGTACATGCGAGAGGAGGCTGGCTGAGAAGGAAGTGAGAGTATCAGATGAAAACTTGGGTGAGTTTCCTGGACATACTTGGAGAGGAATGATCGTCTGCAGTCCAAAGCCTCTCTACTTCCTTCATGCCCTATTTTGCACCTCCTTCCTTGCCAGAGAGGTTGCCATTATTAGGATCTTTGTCATCTGAGGTTAAAATAAGGTCCAGTTCAAAGTGAGGAGACATTACGGGCAGGCAGTCTGGCCCCTGCTTGTCCTGGGAGCTGCACCTCAGCACCAAGTCCTCCAGGCGAACGGCTCTCTCAGAACATCCGGTCCCTCTGCTGCCTTCGGTGGACTCCTCCACTGCCCTGCACATGCTCCACTGTTCCTGACAGGGCATCCCAGCTGACGTGGACTCAGGGCTTCTTGTCACTCTTCCTCTGGCTTGCAGTTAACCTTCTGCCTGCCACTCTGCCCTCTCCCCATTGGGAGGACAGCTGCTCCTGGCCCCCAGCATGGCCCTCGCAGTTAGTGGCCTCTGAGTGAAAAGATGGCTGGAGAGCAGGAGAGCAGCAGAGCAGCAGCACACGTCAGTCCTCCTGGTTCAGCAGGTGACATTCTTGCAGGCAAATTCCTGCAGCAATGACGCCGAGAGAGAGAAACCTGACGCTCTGAGAGGCCTCTGCTCCGAGAATATGCACGGGGGTGAATGGATATGCCCTGACACGTGTACTCCCACCCGGCCCTACCCTGTGTGCATGCTCACGTTCCTCAACCGTCACCCACACCTTCTCTCTGCAGACGAGGTCACAGCGCAGGATCCACCACCATTCTTCATTGTCTGCTACATGCTGCGGGGTTCAGCGGCCAAGGACACTGACTCAGGCCTCCCAGGCACAAGTCTGACTGCAAAGTCATGGGAGATGGGGGGGCGGTGTCCATTGTGCAGAATCCCATCTGTGACCTTCAATTGTGCGTCTCTACAACCTGGGGAGGAAGTGAGTGGCGGTCATGACTGGGGACACCTTGCTGCCCCGCTTTACCCGTCCATATTTGCTGAGTGCGATGTAGGTCCCTCGGTACAAGTCTGACTCATAGGCGTTGTAGTTGTTGGGCAGAAGGATTTCTCTGAACCTGCATTCATCTTGGAATCTGGGCTGCGAAAGAAACGGACAACAGAGACTCAGTGACGGACAAGGAGAGCTCTGAATGCTGGCTGAGTGAGTGACACCAGCACAGCCACAAGCCAAGTGTGGGTGTCCCCTCCCTTCCCTGTGTGAGATGAGTCCGCGGGGTCTGTGCCTTCCCTGGGGGACAGAATTGCAGGCGGGAAGAATGGGAACAGCTTCAGCGGGCCGTGCCTCCTCCTCACCCTCCTCCTGTGTCCTGTGGTGGTGATGGGGGCTGGTGGCCCTGAAGTGACACCGAATGGTCCCCTGACTTCCAGCGTGGGGGACCTTTACTCAGTTTTTAGGTGATGTGTCTTCCATTCAGGACGTGGACCAAGGACGGCTGCAGTAAGCAGCCTTATCCACCTCGCTGCGGGAGGTAGGCTGGTGTGTGGGGCTGAGATCCAGAGTTCATTTCAGGGACCTCTCCCTGATCCTGGCTGTGTGAGCTCTGGCAGGTTCGGCCCCTTCTCTGCCTCAGGCCCCTTCCTGCACCCTGTATAGGTGGGGGACACAGGTGGAGGGGGTGAACGGATGATCTCTAAGTCCCTTCCAGCGCTGTCTTTATCTTTTCGAGCTTGATTCCTCTCTACCAAGTTTGGTGCCCCTCAAAGAGACATGTCTTGGCTTTGACCTTGAGACTGGAAGGTATCTGGTACGTCCACGACATTCATGGTTCTCCAGGGACCCACAGGAGCACAGACGGTGAGGAGTGGCAGTTTTTATGGAGAAAACTCGATTTCCAACATGAAGGTGGTTCCCAGGAATCTGCGGCACACAGGAAGTAGCCCTCATGCTAATTTGGCAGAGGACCCCGCGGAAGGTGCTGGATATCCTGCCACACACCTACAAGTCCATGCCCAGCAGGTCGCCCAAGTCTTCCATTTTACCTAGAGAAGGGGACTCTTTCTCCCCAGGCTGCCCAGGTCACTGCCCTAGGAGGAGTCCACGGGTTCCCATGTTCTTTGGGGGGTGTATTTTATGAGGGGTCTAGAGGAAGAGAGCAAGGTGGGACCCAGGAGATCTGGGACCTGGGCTTTAAAAGAAACCCAGAATTGAACCAAGGGAAACTGGAGTAAAATTTCTGCCTCTTCCTTGCTGATTGAGCCCATCTACTAAAAACCCAGTGAAACCCCACAAGTGCAGCCCTGTGCTGCAGAGGTGCCAGAGGCATCCTGGGACCTTCTGTGAGGAAACGCCCCTCTTACACCCACTCCCTGCAGCAAGGGTGGATGGTACCCTCCTCTTTGCTGTTTGGGAGCCGAAGCCCTAAGGAGCCCTGGATCCTGCCCCATGCCCCGGAGCCCCATGGCGTAGCTTGCAGACCGCTTGGGAAGCAAGAGCCCTGGGGGCATTCCTGGTCTAGGATAAGACCTGTCTGGTTTGGGACACGATGCTAACTGAGTGACTCAGTAAGGACAACAGGGACCCTTGCGGGTGGCTGGAGGGGGGCTCTTCCTGTGTGACAGTGAGCCAAGGGCCCACATTTCTGATGGGAGCACCCCAACACATGCACAGGCAAGGACAAGCACACACACATGCGCACACACACACACACACACACACACGCACGCCTTCCCTTCTCTTGCTCTTGTGTATTATTTACAAAACACTTTCACACACATTAATTTGGAATGGACATGAAAGATTTCAGCAGTTTACGCTCCTGTGGGGGTTTGTGGGCCCCTTCTTCCAGGTGCTCGGTAGATGTTTCTGGCATGGATGAAGGAAGGAAGCCCCACAAGCAGGGAGACAAACTGTCCTCATAGATAGTGAGCATATTTGCAGCAGGGCTCTGGGCTTAGCCTGACAGTAATCACCTCTTCTTAGCTGTGTGAACCTGGGTGAACTGTTTAACCTTCTAGGCCTCAGCTCCTCCGTCTGGAAAGTGGGAAAAGCGAGAATAATTATGCCATGGAACTCAAGTAAGTGTCACTAGAAATAATGCATGGAAAGTCCAGGGTCCAATGTTTGGCACACAGTAAATTAAAAATAATGATGTATTTTTATTATTCCTGTAAGATTAGCTGTGGGTTATTAGACAGTTTAGCTTTTAAGTTCTGCAGGTTTATTTTTTATTTTGTACTAGGATTGAACCCAGGGTCTTTACACTGTGTTACATTCCCAGCCCTTTTTGTTTATTTTTTAAATTTTGAACAGGGTCTTGCTAAATCGCTGTGCTGCTCAGGCTGGCCTCCAACTTGTGATCCTCCTGCCTCAGCCTCCCAGTGTTCTGGGGTCACAGGCAGCACCACTGTGCCTGGCTAAGCTATTCGGTTTTTAGTGGAATGCCCGGGAGACATGTGCTTGCATGGAAAGAGCACAGAGCTGGGCTGAGGAGGAGGTGGATGCAGCTCCGCACTGTGCAGAGGGTCGGTAACAGCTCTTGACAGTGGGCTCTTTGTCTGTGTGGGTAACACAGTGAGCCGCAGGACGTAAGACTGTGGCTACACAACAGCACTCGGAGGACAGCAGCGTTAGCAGAAATTAAAACCAGAATTCATTGTAAAAGTTAAATGACAAGTTAAAGGTATTACAGACAGGTAAGTTAATTAGATATCTTGTTGCAGGTAGACAGGGCCTCCTTTAAGGTGCCAGCCCTCCAGGAGCCAACAGAGCAAGGAACCAATGTAGAGAACAATTGAGGCACATTCACTGGTTAGCATTATAAAAAGGAACTACTTCCCCTAGAGACAGACACCAGTGATTGATATTCTAAATGGGAAATTCCTTGTATGTGACTTGTCTTCCCATTGACCCCCACTTAATCAATGTTACCTGGGTGACTGTACTTGTGATCTTACTGGTTGGTCATGGTTTTGTCCCACCTCATGCCCACCTTGTAAATTTCCACTGGGTCCTATAGTTTTGTCCCACTGTGTACCCGCCTCACCACCTGGCTTTGCTGTAGAAAACACCTTTGAAGAGTGGGGTAGGCGGCAACCCACTTTCCAGTCCCCCTTCTGTCTCTCTTAGGCAGCTTTCTTTCCCTCAATCAATTTTCCTACTCTTAACCTCCATTGTTCCTAGAATTCATTCTTCGATTTTAGCGAACACGAACTCGTGTTTTGGATAACTAGTAGGTTTGGGAGTTACAGCTCTTCCCCCATATCAAAGGTACACTACTTGAAAGGCCATAACAGATTAGCCAACAAAATAGAGTCCAGCTGTCAATGAAACACATGTAAAAATGACTGTAAAATAATATAAAAGAAAAGTACATTAAAAATCAAACTGAAATTGACAAAATAGAAGTGGAATTTCAAACCACCAGAGAAAACATGGAATTGGAACAACTGCACAATATCTGATAGTAATTCATAATAGTAAAGATTGATGTATGACTTCATTCATTATATCAAAATGAATTCCAAAAGGAACAAAATTTAAACATAACAATGATAATCATTAATCTAGAAAAAATTTTACAACTTCAGAATCACGTATTATCTTTCTTTTCTAAGCAAGGCATCCACAAAAAACTCAGAAGCCATTAAAAAACTAATAAATTGAACATGTGTCTGAAAAATATTACCTCAAGCAAAATAAAAAACTTAAGTGATAAAGTGGATAAACATTTACTGTACATATACGTCTACAGAAAATTTTGCTTATTATAGTCAGAATCCTTAACTTACTGGAAAAAACACATATGGATAGAAAAGTTCACAGGAAAGGAGAAATAAATAACATTTAAGCATAAGAAAATATGTCTAATAGAAGAAATGTAAATCATAACTAAAAGGTCATATTTTTTAATGATCAGATTGCAAAGAAATCACGTTTGATTATACCAGAACTGGTGATGGCATGGAGGGAAAGAATTCTCACTTAAAGTCCTTTGGTGTGTACATACTTAGAACTCTTCATAAAGAGTACTTTGATAACATCTACCAGAATAAGAAAATGCAGACAGAGACTAATCAGCAATTCCACTTCTAGGAAATTTATCTTACTATTGCACTCTTGTATGTGCATAAAAGTTACTGACACATTGTTGTAGGAGGAAAAGACCAAAAACAGCCAAACTGCCCATTCAGAGGGGAGTGCAGGAGTCAGTACAGTGAATCAGCCATGAAAAGCTAAGGAACTGACAGAAAATGGTCTGAAAAGTACACTGCTGACTGAAGATGCCAGGTTTGAAAGAGTGCACATAGTAAACCTGTGTGTGTGATTTAAAACTTGATACTGGAGTGAGTCTGTGCACACACACACACACACACACACACGCACGCACGCACTGAGGCCATTCCTGGAGTGGTCCATGAGGAGCTGGCAGCAGTGGATGGCTGCGGGGAGGAATTCGCTGGCTTCAGGACCACATTGGGAGTGAGACGTAGGTCCACAGAAGATTCTTCTGTATCTTTTTTCCCTTTAAGCCATGTTTGCGTGCTACTCATCTGAGTAAGGGAGTATTTAAGGTGGGAAAGGAATGCATAGTAGAAGGCAGGCCAGGAAGCGGAGTGAGAAGACGCTTTATCAGAGCTGCTGGCCTCTCTTGGTGGTGTCACGCTGCTCCAGCCCTCCATCCTGACCTTATTTGTCCCAAAGGAAACCAGCCCAGGCAGCTTCCAGGAGAATTTATTTCTGATCTGGATGGTGGTCAAGGCAGAGGTTTCATGTGCTGTCTGCAAACTCAGGAGAGGAAGTCAAACCCAGGGCAGAGGATGGGGTGGAGGAAAGGGAAACACAGGCAGCTGAGTGGCTTCACAGTGGCACAGGGGCACTGCCCACCTCCCACTGTCCACAGCATGTCCACCTGGGGGCGAGCCCCTCCTGAGAGTGCACAGTGTGGCTGGGTTGCAGCTGGCCCTATGTCCCCACGGGCTCCACATCCCCAGGTTCAGTGAACCAGGGATTTAGAATATTTGAAAAGGGTTTGTGTCTGTATTGAACAGACTTGTTCTGGCCACTGTCCTGTAATCAGCAGTGAGCGCGACTGGCACAGCGTGTCCACTGCGGAGGTACTGCACATGACACAGAGAACCGAGAGCACGCGTGAAGGTGCGTAGGCTGCGGCGGATACTATACCATTACAATGGGGAATGGAGCATCTACAGTTTCGTATCTATGGGGTCCTGGAACTGTACCCCACTTTGTTCTCTGCTCACCCGATTTTGTCTTCCAGCGCTGAGCATCAAAACCAGGGCCTTGTATATGATAGGCAAGCTTTCTGCCACTGAGCTGCGGCCCCAGCCCTGCCCATCAGATTTTGATTATTCAAATCCTATCTCTGCCCCTTTTTTAAAAAATTGAAGTTTACTTTTGTCTCTCTTCATCTTGGCCTTTTCCTCCAGCCCAGTGTCGGGGAAGGTATGGCACGTGTACGGCGGTGGGCACACAAGCTGAGTCTCCCCAGCAGCAAGCATCGGATGACAGCTCACACAGGGCCGTGCCAGCACTCTGCCATAGATAAGTGGTTTTGGGTTGCAGTTTGGGCACTCAGCCTCTAAAAGGTTCGCCATCACTGCTCCAGCCTAGAACTTTGTACAACCTAACTGGAAACAAACAGAGATGGCATGCCATCTGCACAAGTATGTGCCCTGCTCTCTGATGCTCAGGCCGGTGGGGTTTCCCATTGCCCAGTGATGCTCCAGTCCAGCCACTTCGTTCCTTTCCAGCCTGCCCTGAGCTCTGAGTTCTCATGGCTCAGGAATGTTGGCTTCTCAGCTCTGGTGAGAAAAGCACTCCAGCCAAGTAAACGCCGCATTAATAAAAGCAGCTCCCGTATATAATTACATGAACAAATGAAAATAATTCCACCAGCTCACATTTCCTGGCCTGCCAGGCTCAAGCTCTGGCATGACAATGTCTTGGATCCCGCAGAGGTCTACACAGACCTGTGCAGAACCGAACTTTCATTTCCCTTAAAAGCAGAAGCGTCCGGCTGTCCCTCCGGAGAAGGGCGTGCTGGGAGGCCAGTCTGGCCGTCCCAGTGAGTTACCTCTGGCCCTGTGCCCCTAGCCTGCGGGGACAGGACACCCGCCTCCTCTCCCCAGCAGAGCCAAGCCACTCCTGTCTTTAACCACCCTCGTCCTGGAGCTGCTCTGGGCCCCGAGGCTCCTGGCTGTGTGGTAGCAGGGACAGCAGTGTGGTTGCCAGGAAGGAGGTGAGGAAATGAGGAAATAAAACCAAAACCCAATTCTGCCCTGAGACTTGCTTCTTTTCCTGCCCTTAGAGATAGCTTCTAACTCTGAAGATCCCCGCATTGTCTAAGTCCTCTTCCTAGCACACAACTGTTAGGAGAACTGCTCCATTTAAACTGCACTGTCGGTTTTAGAAATGCTGAGAGGCGCTTCCGTTGGGCTGGTGCGTCCTGCATCACTGCCCAGCTCCCCTCCTGGTGCCCAGGCCCTGCTCTGGGTCCTGGTTTTGCCTCCTTTGTCCCGGACCCTCGGAACCTTTCTCTGCCAGGTGAGGGTGGAGGCTAACCCGGTGGGGGAGTATTGCAGATAGGTGAGTTAATTAGATATCTTGTAGGCAGTTAGACAGGGCCAGCCCACAAGGAGTCAACATGGAGGAGAGTGAAGACACATTCACTGAAGGCCAGCAGTGTAAAAGGAGAGAAATTAGCACACTCCACACTCGTGTAGGATGAATAGCAGTGACTGATGTTCTAAACAGGTGTCAATCACCTGGGTGGGGGCCATAGTCTTAACCCAGCCTCTCCAGGAAACACCCCTGACCCATCCTTACCAAAAACGCTTGCTACGTGACTTGCTCCCCCATTGACTCCCATTTAATCAATGTTACCTTGGTGACTGTACTTGTGATCTTACTGGTTGGTCATGGTTTTGTCCCACCTCATGCCCACCTTGTAAATTTCCACTGGGTCCTATAGTTTTGTCCCACTGTGTACCCGCCTCACCACATGGCTTTGCTGAAAGAAAACATCTTTGAACCGTGGGGTGGGCGGGCAACCCACTTTCGGGTCCCCCTTTCTGTCTCTCTTAGGCAGAAGCTTTCTTTCTCCCAATCAATTTTTCCTACTCTTAACCTCCGTTGTTCCTAGAATTCATTCTTCGATTTTAGAGAACAGGAACTCGGGTTTCAGATATCTAGGAAGTTTAGGAGTTACATCTCTTCCCTCTATATCAGGAGGGCCTGGAATTCTCCAGGTATCACCATGAGGGGCTGCATGCTCAAAAGCAATTTTGTGCTTTGAATGTTGTCATACTACTTTTGAGTAAATGGATGTAAATGCAGTTCTAATTTGTAAAACTAAACTTACTTAAAAATGACAATTCTTCATAACCTTTGGTTTAGTATGCATTTTTCTTAACCAACGTTTGTTGACAGAATCCCCATCAGGTGGAGATTCTTGATGATTTTCTTAATTTTACTTAAATGTTTTCTTTTAATTTTGAGGCGGGGGGCGGGGGGGGGGCTTGCGGGGGGGGGGGGGACACGGACTAAGAAGGGGACCGAAACCTGCTGAATGTAGCAGGCTGATTGGGCTCTTGTGGAAATGCCTTCCACAGTTGTTAACAAGCACAGAACGAGGCGGGGGGCGGGGGGGGGGCTTGCTAAACTGCTCAGGCCGACCTGGAATTTGACATCCTCCTGCCTCAGCCTCTCAAGTAGCTGGGATTACAGCCCAGCTGGTTTTCTTAATTTTAAGGGGGAAGAAGGTTGGAATGCACTAATTTCGGCCTCAGTCTGCTTACACTCTGCCCCAAGTGAGACAAGAACAGAACTGTAGCTAGAGAGTGGGCGGGCCAGAACAGGAGCTGGGATCTGGGCCGCTCCCCAAAGGCGCCTGCGCGGTGGCCTGGGCGCAGCGTTGCGGGCTGAGGCGGCTCTGCACCGAGCTGGGCGGACCAGACCGGCCTTGACGTGGACCCCGGGGTGCCGTCTGCAATGGGCGCAGGCCGGGAGCTCTCGGTTCCGCCTAGGGGGCCCTGCGCCCCTTTCCCTGGGATGAGCCAGCCAGGTGCCGGACCGCGCCCGCCCGCAGCCCAGGGTTTAAGGGACACAGAGCAAATGAGATCACAGGCAGGAAGCCTTCCTGGCTCTCTTCGAGATTGTTTTTTAGCCGGTGGCGAGGCCCTAGGGAGGCAGAGGGGGCCGGAGACCCTCGGGAGCTGCCCCCCGCCCCGCTGCCTGGGTCTGAGAGCCGGATCTGGCCTTGGGCAGGGGGTCCCCTTCCCTGACTGCTCTGCTCTGCTCTGCTCAGGTGAGCCAGCCCAGTCCTGCTGGGCCCGCGAGCCTGCTGGGTGGGGCGCCCACACTTCACGCCCGCTAGTCCTAGGCTGCTCGGAGGCCTTTTCCCCTTTGTCTCTGTCTCTCTGTCTCTGTCTTTTTCTTTCATTCGCTTTTGGCAGCACTGGGGATGAACTCGGCCTTCCCACAGCTGCATTCCCAGTCCCTTTCCATTTCTGAGCCGAGGTCTTGCTAAGTCGCTGAGCTGCCCGGCTGGGCTCCAGCCTGTCGCTGTCCTGGCCTTGCCTCCCTCTCCGAGAGCTGAGAGCCAGCCTTATAGGCAGCACCTCCCGGCCACCCCACGGCCCCTTCCACCGGGACCGGAGGTCCGGGTGGAAACCGGATCAGCTTTGTGCCCCTTTCCCCTCTCCACAGTTGAATTCCTTTCCAGGGCAGCAGAAAGAAACAATACCTCCTTTGTTCAGCGAAGGTAGCAGGTGGAGGAGTTTCTGACTCCGGCCCTGCCCAGGAGCTGGCTGCTAGGACCCTGCACCGAGTCCCGTGCCAGCTACTGCGACGCTGGCTCTTGGCCCAGCAGGCTTCCGGCAGGGCACACAAAGGCTGCGACGCTGTGGTGGGAGGCTTCCTCCCTCTCCCCTGTACTTTCCTGGAGAGTTCAGAAGGCATCTGGGGTCCCAGGTCTAAGGCCCCAGCCCCACGGCAGTGTGACCCTGGGCAGCACAGCTCCCTGTCCCCCAAAGGCCCAGTAGCCTGGTGGTCCCCAAGCCTGCTTGTGCCTCAAAAATGCCTGAGAAATTAAAGAAACAAACCAGACAGCTCTGTAGCCTGCAACTCTATTGAATAAAATCTCTGAAGGGAGTCTCTGGAGATCGTATTTTGGGAGGGAATGCTCAGTGGTAGAGCCCTTGCCTGGCATGCACGGGGTCCTGCATTCAGCCCCCAGCACTGCACACCCAGAAAGGCATACTTTGTCCTCTTTTTGAGCCATGCTCTCACTATGTGGCCCAGGCTGGCCTTGAACTCAGGGTGATCCTCCTGCCTCAGGCTCCCAGTGCTGGGGTTACAGGCATGACCACCACACCCTGCTGAGAAGCCCATACTTTTAATAGGAGGTGATGTGGGCGAGGACTGTCCGGGGAACTGCGTTGGAGACCCACTGACTCGACCCATGCATGTGTTCTGTAGGCCAGCCAGACATGGGCATCAGCAGGGGCGCCCGAAGCTGAGCTGTGCGTGGGTGCTCCTCTGCTCATTACCTCTTGTCCTCAGTTCCTCCTAGGGCCGGCAGAACCTCCTCTGACCCTCTCCATAGACAGCACTGGCATTCTCTGGGCTCCCTGAGCGCTTCCTTACTAACCTCTTAATTTCTGCCCAAAGGACTCCGTTTTGCTGGCTTCAGCAGGATGTTTTCCTAATGTCTGGGAGTAGACTGATGGTGGGGTGAGAGCCCCAGATGCCAGCACCTTCCCTGGCCTGGGTGACTGCGGCACAGGGAGGGCTGAGGCTGTGCTTCTGCAAGGGAAGAGACCAGAGAGTAGAGGACGGCAGACCTAGGAGTCGAATCCCAGCTCTGATTACTGTGAGCTGGCCCAAGTGAGGCTCAGGCCCCTCCTTTTCAAGGGCTCCTTTCTCCACTTTCACTCCTCCTGCTAGGTAAAGACTGTCTCTCTCCATCGCATTTGCACTGCTTTCTTCAGTTGCACAAGCGCCAGGCTTCAGCCCAGGCTTCCCAGCCAGACACACTCACCGTTGCGTACAGTCTTCCTCTCCTGTTCATGGCAACGAAGAGGACGCTTCTCACTCCAAAGAGACTCACCACTCCGCGCTCCACTGTGGAGATTTCCAGCAGGCCTGGCAAGGAAACGGGGGTGGTGTCAAGAAGGCCAGTACAAGTCAGAGAGGGACCCGGCCCCTAAGGAGGCCCGATCCACCCCTCGTCCCGCAGGCCAGGCTGCCGCTGACACCCAGCTCTCCAACTTGACATGGCACTGCTTGACTTGGCACGACCCACACATGCTGTTAGACGCCACTTCTGTCAGGCGAGGGTCTGCGTCGGAGTTGGGGACTCCTGGGTTCCTCATGTATTTACTGAGATTGGCTCTGCATCTGGGTTTTCCCTCACTTTAATCACTAAGTCCTTGACTTGGGCAGAAACGTGGATTCTCATTATTATTTTTTAAATAAATGCTCACATTTTTCAACTACTCTCAGCCCATCTTATCTCACACATGCCACAGCAATGCAGCCATCTACGGCTTGCCTGGACCCCCACCCGCACCTGGGCTTGGTTAGGACGTGATCCTTGAAGCTACTTGTCAACCTGTGGGGACAGAGGGACCTGAGGACAGAGCGAGGTGACTGACTAAAAGGGTGGAAGTCTTTCCTTCTCAAAGAGAGAAGCTGAATAAGAACAGGCTTGTGTCTAATTCGGTCAAGCATCAGGCTCATTCTCCCCGCCGCTGCCTCCTGGCTCCCCAGGCTGAGGGTCCCCAGCAGTCTCCAGAAAGTCTGCTGCAGCGCGTGCCACAGGGGCTGGCAAAGGGCACCATGAGGCTTGGTTCTTGGCATCTTGCACCCAGGCAGGGCCAGGTTGAGCTTTCTGTGGGGTGCATGCCACTTCTCCCTCTCTGGAGTAAGGTCCCAGGCTCCAAGCCCCGGCCCCCCAGCATCTGCACGTGGCACTCACTGTAGGGGTTCTCTTCGTGGGTCCCGCTGATCTGGCCATTGAGGGGCACCTGGAGGTGAAAGCCGATGCCCACGTTGCAGTAGAGCCGCCGCTGCCGCTTGATGCCCACCAAGTACCCACTTTCCCAGTTCACTCCAGCGATCTCTCCAGCCAGCCCGGCACGAGACCTGGACAGCAGGGTGCTCCAGCCCCTGGAGTCCAGCAGGGAGCTGTTGGCTCGAGTGCCAGCCGGCAAGGGCACCACCACGCCCAGCAGGACCCAGAGGAGCGCGAGAGCCTGCAGTGTGCCCTGCTGACGGCCCGCTGTCCGGGACATAGTGATGAACAGCGTCCGTCCCAGGGCTGTCCACCTTGCCTCTCAGGCACGTGGTCAGAATTAATGGCCCTAAAAATACCGCCCTTCTTGTTTTTCTCCCCTCAGCATGGCGGCAGGGGCTTATTTTTGGAAGGCAGATGAAGGCTGCTGACATGAAACCAAAACCTGCCTCGGGCACTGGGCGTGAGAGCTCAGGGACCCAGGCTGGGCCACAGGCAGTAGGGACCATGGCTCAGGGACTCGCTCTCTGCTCACTCTGCCCAGTGATCCCGGCTGATCTGGTCCAGCCTTACAGTCCACAGCCACCCTCCTCCAGCCCTGCCACCCTGACGTCAGCGCCCGGCACTGCCACCCAGGGCTGTAACCTTAACCTGCGCCAGGCCTGGCCACCTCCCCACTCCCCGGGGAGCCGCTGTCATCCCAGCTATGGGGCAGGAATGAAGTTAGCAGGGACATCTCTGGGCAGGGGGAGCTGGCTGGGGCCCAGGGATGGGGAGGCAGAGGCCGCCCGGGACCCAAATTGGGCTCAGCCCTCGGCCAGGCAGTCCTGGCTCCCTTACTTACAGGGTGGAGGGTAAAGAGGGCTGGCAGGCATGGTGGCTGGTGGTGAGCAGCCCAGGAGCTCCTCTCGGACACAGAAAGAGCTCGAGGCAGAAGAGGACAGTCGGGAAAGTGCAGAAATGGGGGGTCCAGGGGGCCCTAGATCATGGAGGGAGGGAGGGGATGAGCATTTCTTTCCTTGTGCACCATCCTGGCCAGGGCAGAAGTGGTGTCTGGGCCCCGGCCGCTCACTGAACTCAGCACAACCTTGGCATCTGACTGATGATTTTCCATTTCAGAGATGAGAAAGCTGAGGCAGGAGGGCTGCATGGCCTGCCTGAGTAGCTACAGGCAGGCGTGGCAGAGGCGTAGGCTATAGTCTGCCGAGGTCCCAAACCCGTGCATGCTGTTGCTTGTAGCAGAAGTGGGATTTCCAGTTTAAGCTGTTATACATCAAGGGCACATCAGGGAACTATTTCAGTAGCACAAAATGATTCATCTGTTAAAAAATAACATCAGATGCCTTTGATATACATAGAATTCATGCATCTGCAGCTAACTTTTGCTAGGCTCGCGTTATAGTTAGAAATTAAATATAAAAATATTTCCATAGTTATTCCGATACCCCATTCTCTTTTCTCATATAACTTTAAATAGATTATATGTTTAATTAAAGCAGAAGTCCCTTTAAAAAAACCAATAAAAGCCCTCACAAATTGCTATGCAAATATAAGAAGGAACTGCATCTCTGAAGATGCAATCACCTCTCCAGCTCTCAGTGCGGATTGTTGCTGGGCTGGAAGGGCTGAGTGTTTGGGAGGGAGCAAGGCGTGCTTGGCCATCCTGAGTGGGTCCCAGGGAGGGCCTGGGCTGCGGGCTGCGGGCCTGAGCCTCCTGCTCTGCCTGCGTCCCACCTCTTGGTCCACAGCGTCGGTCCCTCTGCTGCCTTTGTTTGAACTGATGCTTAGCATAGCATTTCCATCCAGCTGTGTGTTTCAGTTTTGCCCTGGGTTCACTCTCCTGGACTCCTTGACCCTAGGCATCTCCCATCATCACCTTGCTGGCACACTGAAGGGGGGTACTTCTGTGCCCTCCTCATTATTGTCCTCCCAGCCCAGCCCAGCTGCTTCCTGTTCCCCATCACTTCCGCTGCCATATGCCAAACTTTATCCTCACCAGAGGGCCATTTCCCAGGACAAGGAAGACTGTGCCTTGCAGGCAGAGATCTCATCTACTGCATAGATTAGATTTTTTCAGAAAATAATGTTTAAAGAGGTCATGGAAGCAATAGCACCATCAATAATCCAAGGACAAGTTGTCAACACAAGGAACCTTGCCTTGGAATGCTAGCTTGGCTTGGTATCTTCAAGCTCTCATGCAAGCAAGAGCCCTGAGGACCCTGTCTTACCTGTGCTCAGTTTGCAGTCTCGGCCTGACTGTGCTTGTTGTTCAGGCTTGGGAAGGGGCAGCCAGAAGCATGTTGGAAGGTAAGCAAATGAGATTGGATAGGAAATGTTCCCCGGAGGCCTGTGTGAGAAGGCCAGGTCCTCAGGGTAAGGAAACCGCTGATGTGGGACCTCGTGGCAGAAATGGTCAATGGGGGCTCACCCTTGAGGGGATCTCAGGACCCCAGCCCCTCTCTCTCCCTCTCTCTGCCACATGCTGGCTCCTACCATAATGTCCTGGCCACCACAGGTCCCAGACAACAGGACCAAGTGACCATGGACTGAAAACCCTGAAACCTTGAGTCAAAATGAATCTTCCTTCTATGTTGATTATATCATGTAACAGACAGCTGACGGCACAAGGTGGTCCAGAACTAATACTTGCTCATCAGCAGGGGTCAGATCTTCATGGAATAGTTCTTGGAGCCCCCTACTTTGGGATTGTCTTCAAAAGAGAGGTTACATTATAGCAAGGTCCACCAATAAAATGATAAATCTCTTTAAGGTCACTTCACCCTGACCCCTCTCTGTGCAGAAGTTGTAGTTGATGTCTTATAAAGCAATCAGCTGTACCACTTACTAGTGGTGCAGCCTCAGAAAAGTTACGATCTGCACCTCATTTGTTTCATCTGCAAAAATCTGCATAAGGTTGTTACAGTGATTAGTGACCATGCATGCAAAGAGCACAGCATGCCTCTGCCCCAGCCTGTTCTCTGAAACACACTGGAAATCTCTCACCTAGTTAGGGAAGCACAGACTCTTAAGTGAGATGGACCATTTCTCATCTCAGGGCTGGGAGAGGCACACGGGCTTCCAGTTCTTAACCACTGCCCACCGCAGCATATGTTGTGATGGCTGTTAACATATGTAGAAGCAGGCAGCCCAGATTCCTAAAATATTCTGAAAACCAGTAATAGCCTTGGTGTCGTCCCCTGTTAAATATAAAACTTAAGTAATTCATTCTATTAAAAAGCCTGGGCCTTATTTTTATCTGGTGATGCGATGAGGCCCTGTTCTAAATGTGCCTCCTGTGCCTGTCTCTATAGCAACTCCACTATTGCTCGTATAGCCATATATTGTTCCTGAAGGCTAATTAAGTTGACAACTGCTGGGGCTTCTTGGTTTACCAGATTTGCACTCGACCCTTCGCTCAGGCTTAGGGACCCCTATGGATGCTAAGTGATAAAGAAAAGAGGAACAGGTGGAGGAGGCCTCTCGTGCACCCCTCTTCAAATAGTTGCCCAGGGGCCTTTGGGGCTGTCAGTCACGCTCTCCAGAGGAGCCACGGCTTGGGAGAGGTGAGCAGGAAATACGTTAGTGAGTCTCCTTCCATCACAGAGTACTTTCCACACGCAGAGCAGCAGGAAGTGTAGAGGCTCAAGTCAGACAGCTTAGCTACAGCCACCTTTCCTATCAGCCACCCGACCTCTGCCCCAGACAGGTAGGGTGGCCTCTGTGCCTCCAGGAGATGGGCAGGTACAGAGGTGAGGGTCTGGGAAGGATCCTTGCCCTGACCCGAGGGTCACTTGGAGCTCATCAAACTTGCTAGAAGAGGGAGGAGAATTTTCAGCCGGGTCAGAGGCCTCCAGGTTGGGCTTCTGCAGGGAAGGTCCGCTCTTATCTTGGGAGCTCTTCCATGGAGCAACCGCACTTTGTGCTTTCCCAGAACTCAGCTTTCCACAGTCCTCACCTGTGAAACTGGAGCCTGTGAGCAACCATCAACCCTGTCCTCCTTAGTTTTTGCCTCTGCCAACCCACATGGAGCTTTGCTCTGTTGCACATCACCCCCAAGATATCTGGAGCTAGAACAAGCATCCCTCATGTCCAGGAGCACACCTGCTCCTGCCCAGAACCACTGCAGGGCCACCGTGTGGCTTACCTGGTCACCAGCCCTCCCACCTCCTGCAGTCCAGTACCACCACAGCCTAGTGCCTGACGCCTGCAAGAAGCCAAAGCCATTTTATGATGTGTTTCAGAGCAAGTCAGCACACTCTCGGGCCTCACAGCTGTGAAAGGATGCACTCTTCTGAAGTTTGTTTTCAGACATCCTGCCCAGCAGAAAATTCAATCTGGTGATGGGCTGAGCTGCTCAGTTTGGGCTTTGTTCTCCTTCAGAATGAATTTTTCTCCGGAGGTTCCTCAGCCTTCAAAGACAGACTTCCACAGAGGCCACCCACCTGCTGTCCGGATAGGTCCAAATCCCAGCCCAAGTTCAGACAGGAGGTCCTGCTCCCTCCTGCCCTCTCTGCCTTGGGGAGAGGGGAGCCCTTGCTTGGCCAGTTTGTGGTCCAGTTGCCCACATATCTGCAGGATTTCCTGGACTGAAGCCCTCTCCTCCACTCCACCCCAGAGACCACCTGCTTGGTTCATGGGCTGCAGGATCCATCCTTTCAGTCTAAAGCCTCCATCCTGCTATCTTGCTGTGTCTCTCAGTGGGACTTCCTATCTGATCTCTCTCCTCCTGTCTGTCCCTCCATCACTCACGTTCTCTTCCCCTCTCTCCATCCCCTCCTTTCTTTACTGTGCCCCAGGCAAGCAGGCAAGCCCTCTTGAGGGGCTGCCACCTACCACAGAGCAAGCCAGCACCTCAGGCTTGGTGATCACCGAGGATGCACTTTTCAGCTGAATTTACAAAGGGCTAGAGGAGTCAGATGACCTTCTGGAGCTTAGAATGTAAAGGACGTTGGCTCTGCTTGGAGTTGTGCGGTTCCTCAGGGTTGCTTTCCTAGATCACCACCTAATAATACCTGCTGCTTGCTGAGGCGGGCATGCACCCTGCCGGCCACATTTACATAAAAGCCTCACCCTTGCCCTCGGTGGCGGCTCCCCAGGGTGGCACAGAGGCCCTCAGGGCCTGACCTCTCCTGGTCTCCCCAGCTCTAACCTCTACCTCCCTCTCAAGGGGCATTTTGTCTTCAGCAACCTCCTCCAATGGCTTGTTGTTCTCAGGCATTCTCTGTGCCTGTGTTTGCTCAGTTGTCTTCCCTTTTCCTACTGGCTTGCTTCTCATCTTGAAAGTTAGTGTGAATGTCCGCT